TCTTTTCAACTCATGCCAACCTTGACCTAACATTTTCCCACAATGTGGGTCTTGTCCTTGCTCTGGCCCTGGTCTTTCGGCTTCTGACTCGGGACCCCACCTCTCACTCTGTTCTCGTGGCATGGCTCTGCACGGCCAATCTATGTCCTCCTCGATCTAGCTTCACTGTCACCACCTCTGGCTTAGGACGCATGTGGTCTGGCCTCATTAGGCGACTGAAGTGGACAACCCCAGAGGGCTGCCCACACGTGTCCTGAGCTATGGCCCTGCCCATCAGAAGGCAGATAAGAAGTCTTCTAGCTGAGGCCGGAGCTCACTTCAGGAGTTAGTCTTGCTCGTGCCTTGTCCCTGCTCCTCAGAGGTTCAGTGGATCCAGGTCCTTTGTCTGCTCAAGTTCCAATTCTTCCTCTGCCACTAAATCTCTGGGTAACCACAAGGAAGTAAGTGAACTATTCTGGGTTGCAGTTATCTCATATTTATAATAAGGTTTCCTGACTCCCTAGGTGATACTCCTTCAACTATGCCGTATCACGAATAAGGGAAAATCTAAAATTCAGAAGCCAAAAAAGAGTCTTAAAGTTAAATCTTGGTTTAGCTCTATTAGCTCAGGGTTCTCTAACTTTTTTCTGTCTAATAAGTGTTTGCTGAATTGAATGTTGACTTGTACACAGCACATCAATAGTTCTCAGGCTTTAATGTGAATAAGGAGTGGGGGGCTATACTGAAATGCATATTCTTAGGCCCCCTCCAGAGCTTCTGGTGCCACTGGAGCCTAGGAACATGCATTTTAACATGCAAAACTGAGCAAGTTTTAAAATAGACACTGGTAACGTTTTCGAGGCCGATTTATCAATATGCATTAGGAACTTTAAAAATAGGTCATTTGAACTACTGATTCAATTCTAGAAATTTTTCCTAAGATATTCATAAAGGTTTCTCTTTACGAATGTTTACATATTTATAATAGTAGAACACTCAAGGCAACCAAAATGGCCATCAATAAAAAGAATGGATAAATTAAGACTTAGTCCAACAGAAGTCCAAATGTCACTAAAAATCACATTTTCAAAGACCATTTAGTCACTTGGAAAATATTTACAACATACCAGTTAAGTGGGGTGAAAAAAAAGCATATGGATATCATTTTAATAATTGTTAAAAGGAGAAAAAATATATATGAAAAACTGGAAAAAAATACATTGAAGTGTCAATATTGAATTATTGTTTGGTTGTTGTTTTCTTCTCAATATGTTTCTGTGTTTTCCAGATTTTGTGTAGCAACTAGTTAGGGCTCTTCTTATTTGAAAAACAGTGATACATTTTCTAAAAGAAAAGACATGGAATTCGCCTCATGTAGAATGCAGACAGAGGGAAGAGGAGTCTGCTGGCGTCCAGCCCAGCACAGGCCCGGATGCTGGGGCACTCACACAGCAGAGAGGCTGAGTCTGTGCCTGGGGTAAATTTTGAGCTCCATTCTCTTTTACAAAGTACCTTGGTATAGTCGAGGCCAAGGAATTTGGGTCAAGGAGAAAGTCCTTTTCACTAGATACTGTCTTCCTGCTACATTCAAGAATAACAGCCATGGGATCTGGGACAGGGAGAGGAGTTCCCAGTTGAAATGACGTCTTTACTGCTCTCGAGTTGAACTCAAGCTTGTTGCCTCTGTATACTCCTTCCCACCCAACTCCATGGCACCAAGCAGACAGACTGCCGTCATGTCTAGGGGCTCTGGACAGATGGTGGGCTCCAGCGTGAGAGACACCACCCAGCCTCAATGCTTCTGGGGGGCGGGTTCAAAGCCTCCTTTGGCCAATGCACTGGGAGCTCCAGAGAAGGCCAGGAAGCAGTTTTTTTCCGGCAGAGAGATGGCTCAAGTCCATCCTCCCTCACAGATTTCGGTGAGTCCTGGGTCAAACCTCTCTGATACGACTGGAAACCTTGCAGTTAGGCCTCTGGCCTAGAGTCAAACCTTTGCAAACGTTCTTGAAATTTTCACACCACATGCTTTGGCTAGTTAGGGAGTGGTGCCAAAGATCTCAGATGAAAGTCAATTTCGAAAGACAAAAACAAAAAAATTAAAATAATGATACAATATGAGTAGCCACAGCAAAAGCCAAAACACCAAGGCTGACCATAATTATGGTAATTATTTTCATTAACACCTTGACTTGCCATACATTTTTCTAAGTTTCCCAAACCATTTCATATGTATTACCTAACTTACTCTGACAGAATCTCAGGCTTTCATTTAAAAAAAAAAAAATACCATTTCGGAGCTGGGAGGAAGCTTCAAAGTTCTGATGAAAACCAAAGGATTTTTGAGTTAAAAACAAAACCCTGAAATCTCAGTGTGGTGTTTTCCAACTTCGTTCTTGACAAGAAATCAGGGGATTTCAGCATGAGAAATCACGAAGCCCTATTGCCATGGATTTTTAGCTTTGATGACTATGACATGGCCTTATTGCAAAATTCTCTAAAGGGAGTAATAGAACATTTACAACACTGACCCACGGTAAAAAGGGGGCTTGTACTTCTGTGCTACAAGAACTGCAGACCCCTGGAGCTAGACAAGAAGGACTGGTCTGAGGCACTGCCTACGCCAGCCTGCTGTGCTCAGCCTGCACCTGCTCATCGTGCATCAGCCAGGTCCAGGCGAAGCTCCTTGGATGACCAAGGCTCTGAAAGGACAGTGGTGTCTCAGATTTGAACTATACCCTCGTGTGGAATTGAAAGTTTAAAAATAATAAAATAAAAATTAAGGAAGTTGAAGAAAATCGTAACTTCTCCCATGATGTCTCCTTCGACACTTTTTTGAGAATGTGGAAGATCCAAATATTTACAAAGGGTACGTTTGTTACCCCTGCCTTGTAGGTGTGTCTCCGAGGTCACCCAGCTTGCTGTTCCAACGCTGTGAAGGGGTCGTGTTGACAGCAGTGGAAGTCTGATTTGGGGGTCGCATACCTCTCCCTGCCATGCTATTGAGCTAAATATTAGAAATCAGGAGGCTGACCCCACTCGACCCCCTCCAGACACACACTCATAGGTCAGTTCCTGCACACGAAGTGCTTGGAGGAGTGACGATCACAGAGCAGCCCACAGGAACAAGGTGAATGGACCCTGACGGTTTCCTCCTGACGGTGGCCTTTGGCCCTGCCTTTCCTGGTGGACTCCCTCAGGCTGGGACTTTCAACAACACATCATCCTCACTTGGCTCCAGCTTTTGAAACCTGGTACTTGTTCTCAACTTACTCTTTGGCTGAACCCATCTAGCAGGCACTGCATTCCTCCATCAACATGGTCTTATCTTTAGCCTACTCCACTCTCCCAGCCCGCATTAGGTGCAGTAAATGTGTTCAGCACCCACCAACCCAAGAAAATGGACTTTCAGAGGGTGCAGCATTTTTGTAACACATCCACTTGTTATTCTGCTCTACTCCTTAGGCCACTCGGGATGGGAGGGGACTGGGCCAAGGCCAGGCAGCCGCAACAGGAGACCAGGCAGGAGGCTCCGTGAGAGCCCAGGAGGCTCTGTCAAATCAGCCAGTGGCTGGCCTTCCCGCACAGCAGACAGTGTGTATTATTCAGGGTGTGGGTGTGGGTGCCAGAGATGTCCAGCCCAGGGCAAAATTCAATCAGAAACCAGAGTGTCTAGCCAGATATTGACAACACAGCTAGAGCACTGGGTAGCAGACAGCGCCTGTGCTGCTGAGGCGAGCACACAGTCCACCTTTACTGGCGGTCCCGATGGTGGCTGAGGGGTCTCGTAAGGCAGCCGCCATGCGGTTTCTGATGTCTACCTGTGAGGGGAATACCGCACTAAGACCAGCAGGGCTTATAACTTTGCCACTCATTGTTTCAGTAAATGTTTTAAAACTTTTCCTGAAAAGAAAAAAACTAGAATTATAGATCAAATCCTCAGGGCAGCAACAATCTTCCCAGCTTGAGTCTTTTTAGTCTACTTTTAAATGTTTCTCTAATGATTTCGTTTGAAGACCCTCCCCGTCTCTGCAGCCGTCCTCATGCCAACATTGCAAAGTGTGCCAAGATCTGGAGCGGGCCAGGGAGGGCAGCTTCCCAGAGCCCCCACGAGCAGTCAGAACCACAAGCTAAAGAAACCACGCGCTTTCCTATAGCCCACAGGGCTCAGGGTCGGGGGAACAGAACCTGTTGGACATTTCTGAGTAGCATGACTAGACCCAGGACCAGGAGACAAAGCCAGGATGACTCTATCCCAAGAGGACCCTGCAGGGAAAAATAAGAGGAGGAAAGTCCTTCCTGGTTCACTGGCCACTGGTGGCATGGTGGTGCGTGGGGTCAGAATGGACAGAGATCTCTTGAAAAATCTTCCCCACTGCTCCTTGTCCACAGAGCCAGATGTTACCTCAGAGTGTCAGTTAAGGAGTTCTAAATATCTGATACTTTTTCACTCTCCCCTTCATTCTGCTATCTTTCCTTGAGAATCTCTAAGTTCCATATTGTGCTGGGCCAGAGAGGACTGCCTCTTCTCCAGAAACTTTCCAGAGCATCTCTGGGGAGTGGCTCCCACCCCCGCCCCAGGGACTGTGTTTTCCAGACCACTCTGCAGTCAGATGTGCTCATGCGACACAGTTGTAGTCAAGTGAATGTGAGTAGAACTGACGTGCACCACTTATAGGTATGGTCCACGAAGACCTCTGCTGTGCACTCCTCCTGGGACATGGACACAATCCCAGGTGGCCTTGAAAACCGCCTGCTGCAGAAAGCGGAGCCTCTCTCAGTCTGTGTCTCTGAAGGACTAGCCTGCACTGTCACAGGAGCAAGGAATAAACTTCTGTTTGAGCCATTACACGTTTTCCCGTCTCTTAAAGCAACTGGCCTATCCTAACTATGACTATCTTTTTTGATACCCAACTATTATCACTGTGTGTCTTCTCCCTTTATTTTAAGTCTTATTGCAAACCAAAAGAACAGAATTAGTAAATGTAATTTTAAGTAGCCATTAGGGGACAAATGACACTCACCACATCGGTGGTCACAGCACTCAGATCTCGCAGCCAGATGAACAGTGGTGTAGCAGAGCCTCGTTTTAAGACAGCCTGATACAGTAAAATAAAATAGAAAGTAAAATGTAAGACCTACAAAACAGATATATTAGTGTGATGGCTAATTTCTAAAGGGGACAGTCGGTTTACAAGGGAATTCACTACTGGTTTGCAGTAAATGACAAGCTTCCCCATTGCTTCTAAAATAAGATTCCTTTTTAACATACCCCACCAATCATTACAAAACAGGATTTATAGAGAACAATCCTATGGAGCTAAGCATGCTATACAAAGAGTAGATGCAGACCAAGGCAATGCCTTGGGAAGCCAGGAAAACAGTATGATTTCGATGCCTGTGAGCTCCGCTGTTCTTACGTACACATTAAAGCTTTTCTCTCGGGAACGTAACTTTCTTGGGTAGGAACTTCCAGAGCTTGTAAAATTACAGGCTATGCAAAGACTTTAGACTTTTATAGGTGAAGTTAAAACAGACTCCAGGGATACATTATACTGTCTTTGTGTTTGGTATCATCCCAGATGGCACAAGAAGGAATGAAAACAAGCCCTGTGTAAACAGGGCAACGTGACTGGAGCACCGCACCAGGACAGCCGCAGAAACACGCTGTAACAGGCAGCAGGCCGGGATGTTTTCTTACCGGAGCTGCCATCTTTTACCAGGTTAAGTGCGAAAATACCACTTGACGGCACAGGGCACGTATTTGCCTAGAACAGGGTTTATTTTTGTACCCGATTACTCAGTATAAGACTCAGGAAGCAAACAGTTCAGAACTCTGAACAAACATTCTGGCCGTCCAAAGCCGAGCACCAGGGCGGCAGGAGGAAGAGGAGACAAGACGGGGATGGCGGGAGGCCCGGCTGGGCCGCTCCCCCAGGGTCTCAGTCTTAGTGCAGATAGATATAGATCTGAGAGGACATGTGTCCTTGTCTGGGCCTGTGGAGAAGAGAGAGATCAGCCAGGTCCCTTCGGCGCTGCATTTGGAGGGTCTCCCAAGTGCAGCGCCCACGCCCCGGGCTGGGCCTGCCAGGCCTTAGGTGTCAGGGAACAAGATGGCGCCCCACCGCCAAGGGCACGAGTGCGGGGCCCGGCTGGGCCTTCACTTACTCGGAGGCGCTGGCTCCTCGGAAACCCAGACGCTGCCAGCTCCCTGGGCTCAGGAGTTAGAGCCGCTTTCTTGCTCTGGGTTCTTCACTGCTCGTCGAAATCAGCTCCACATATTTCTCTCATGATGTCACCCATTCTGACTTCTTACATTTTGAAAGTTGATCTACAAGTAAAACATCCCATGAGGCTTAAAAAGGAATGAAAAAGCAAGAAGAGGAGAAAAGAAAGGTGTGCTGTGGGGAGGTGGGGGAGGGAGAGGCGGTCGCCTCCTTAGTTGAGATTTGCTGCAGCTGCGGGTGCCACTCCCCAGTGTTTCCTGGCTGCAGAGGGAGGCCAGTGGCCGGGCCTGGGTGACGTCAGGGCCAGGCCTGAGTCATCACCAGAGGCCGGGCTGCCCTGCCACTCGGAAGGGGACAAAAGGAACCTTTGATGTCCAGGGCCCTCCTCTCGCCACAGCCTGTGCTAAGCAGCAGGCCAGGAGAACATTCCAGCCGCTTCCTCACCCCAGGCCACCCTTCCTGCTTCCGGAACAGTCCCAGGCCGACTCAGCAGGGCCTCCCCAAGGGATGTCACCCTCCTGCCTGGCAGAGGCATGACTGCTCTCTGTCAAAGAGAGAAGCGGAGCACAGTGCTTCTCTGGGGACACCACAACCCCCCTTCCTGGTGGTGTTCGCTTACCCAGGGAGTTGACCTGGGTTCAGAGAGAGTGGAAATGTAGAAGACAGTCTCGTCACCCTCCCTGGGCAGCACCCAGCGCTCTGTGTCTGTTCTCGTCTGCTTGTGTGCGGTGGTCCTGGGCTCAGCGCTCTGCTCTCTGGGTGCCAGTGTGAGCTTGCATTTCCTGCATTTAAGAGGGACCTCTCTTTAAGAGGGGTATTTATACCCAGGGCCCGGCACACGGCTCAGTAAGCACATGACGAAAATAAACAATTACTTTAAAATAAGACAGTAGAGAACATATATTGAATGCTTACAGTGAATGCTCAAGCTTCTGGGCTAAGTGTTTCATAAAGATTATTTTGTTTATTATCATGACAAAGCTATGAGGTAGGTGCGATTATTATTCCTCGTTCTCTAAATGAAAAATGAATGCTCAGAAAGATTCAGACACTTCTTTGAAGTCTCACAGCTAGTTAGTGGCAGAGCCTAGATGGTCTAATCTTAAATTCTGTTCTTTTTTTATAAAGAATTTTTAATTGATTTTTTTAGAGAGAGAGGAAGGGAGAGAGAGAGAGAAACATCTATTAGCTGCCTCCTGCATGTCCCCTACCAGCGATCAAACCCCAAACCTGGGCATGTCGACCGAGAGTTGAACTGGCAGCCCCTTGGGGCATGGCACACAGGACAACGTCTAACCAACTGAGCCACACCAGCCAGGGCTCCAATTCTGTGTTCTTCACCACTCTCTGAGTGGCAGAGCGAGTGAATGGACAATGGCCAAGAGCAGCCTGTCCAGAAGAGGGGATAAAGGTAATGATGGTTCTTAAAACCAAATTCTTCAAACAACAGTGGAGCAATTAGGGATGATCTGTCTAGGGCAGTAGGCTTTCTGCCCTCTTAATGGGTCAACATCGGGTCTGAAGGTTGGTGGGATGCCCACAGTGACCAGGAGGGCAAAGGGGTCTTTAGGTCCAAGTGAGGGGAGAGGCCAGAACAGGAAGACAAAGCAGGGAGGACTGGTGGCGTGTGGTGGGTGCAGAGTCCGAGGGCACAGTGGGCAGAGAACCTCCGAGGTGTGGGTGGGGGGTCTGTGCAGCTAAAGCACAAGACAGGGGCAGGTAAAACGACTACATGATAGCTCTTTTAAGACTGAGAGCTAGCCCGGCGGGTGTGGCTCAGTGGACTGAGTATCGTTCTATGGACTGAGAGGTTCTGGTTTGATTCCTGTTCAGGGCTCGTGCCAAGGGGCGTGCAGGAGGCAGCCGATTGATGTTTCTATCTCACATAGATGTTTCTTTTAATTTTTTTTTCTTTATTGATTTTAGAGAGAGGAAGGGAGAAGTAGAGAGAGATAGAAACAGAGATAGAAACATCGATGAGAGAGAACATTGATTGGCCGCCTCCTGTATGCCCTGCACTGGGGATCGGGCCCACAACCTGGGCATGTGCCCTGACTGGAAATCGAACTGGCGACCTCTTGGTTCATGGGTCGACGCTCAGCCACTGAGCCACACCGGCTGGGCACAATGATGTTTCTATCTCTCTCTCCCTTCCTCTCTCTAAAAAATCAATATAAAAACATATTTAGAAAAAGAAAAGACTGAGAACTAGAGAAAGAGATGGAACTGTGACGTGGTTTCAAGGTGTGAGGCGGGGCTGGAAGACAGGGACAAGGCTGGACCTGACCGAGGCAGTCACTGCCCTGCCGGAGTCCACCGCCTTCTGGGAGGGAGGGAGGGTGCTGTGGGGGCGGAGCTCAGGCCCGGTGAGGAGGGGTGGCCGAGGAGAACCTTTGCTTATGAGCCCAGGATGCAGGTGACTTTGGAGGTCCCTTCTCCCTCTGTGGGCTATGATTCTGTGGTTTGTACTTTTCCACAATTCTCCTAGGGTAAATGCATCATTCCAACAGAAAGAAAAGCCAGGAAGTTCCAGCCCCTAATGGCAGGGCGTAGGGAAGTGTTGGTGGCCTTAGTAATGCCCCGCCATAGCTTTCCTTCCCACCGTGAGGCGGATGTCTGGGCACAGGTCCCCTCTCCTTGGCTCAGGAAACCGGTATAGATACCTTGCGCTGGGAGCTCTGCTGGTGGCCACTCTGAGGAATTCAACCTGTGCTGTGGGGCCTGAGTCCCAAGCAGGTGGAATCAGCAGAGGTCATTTTCGGAAGGGAGAAAGTAATGACCATTTATTTAATCAAGGAGCAGCAACTACTGATCAGGGTTGCTGTCAACATCCACACAGAGCCTGACCTTGGGCCGAGGCAAGTGCTTTAAGTTCCAGGCATTTTTGGCAGAAAGCTTGTTTATTCTTTCCTTTCCTCTCTGCAGAAGATGCGTCTGGGCCCCTCCCTGCTCTGTTTCCCCAAAGGCTCATGGCCTCGCTTGCTTCACATACACAGGTACTTATTCTCTAATAAGATGAACAGAGGCTGATTCTTTTTTCAGCCTCTCTTGTGGGACCAGGATAATGTGAGGAGAAGAAGAAAGGAAAGAAGAAATCGTGAGTAAAAGCTTAAGCAAGACAACAGATTTCTGTGATGTATGCTCTGAGGTTGGTTCTAACAGAGGCTACAAATCAAAGAACTGGGCAAAACATCTGCTTGGGACACAGAGAAGTGAGTGGTGAAACCCTGAACCTCTACTCCATCTGGAGAACCCACCTCCGTTGTTACAACAAATGCAGTTATACTGATAATTATAAAAAATGAAATACAATGTGTACAGGTTCAAGGAATTCCATGGAAGATTTGTCTATATTTGCTGCCTCCAATTTCTCTCAACACATTCACTTAAAACAAACAATTTACTGAGATATAACTTATATACCATAAAATTAACCCACTTAAAGTGTGCCATTCAATGGATTTTAGTATACATATTTACAGAATTGTGTGGCTTGCAATCTAATTTTAGAACATTTTTATCACACATAAAAAGAAACCTTTTACCTATTATCAGTCATGCCTCCTCTTCCCCACCCCCAGCCCTAAGCAGACATTAATATCCTTTTTGTCTCTATGCACTTGCCTCTTATGGACATAAATGGAATCATACGATGTTGTCTTTTATGTCTGGTTACTTTCATTTAGCATAATGTTTTCCAAATTCATTCATGTTATAAAAGATACCAGTCTTTGATTCCTTTTCATGCCCACATAATATTCCATTGTGTGGATATACCACCTTTTGTTTATCCATACATTGACTGATAAACATTTAAGTTGTTTTCATTTTTGGCTGTTATGAATAATATTGCCATTAATGTTTGAGTATAAGTATTTGTATAGACGTACCTTTTCATGTCTCTTGGGTAGATACTAAGAAATAGAATTGCTGGGTCATAAGGTAACTGTTTAACATTTTGAGGAACTGACAAACTGTTTCTCTAAATGCTGCGCCATTGATGTGTGAGAGTTCTGATTTCTCCACATCCACATCCTCACCAACAATCTTTTTTAAAACATTATTTTTTATTAAAGTATAGTTGAAATACAATATTATATTAGTTTCAGGTGCACAACATAGTGATTTGACATGTTTATACCTTATGATGTGATCAGCACAATAAGTCTAGTAACCATCCATCCATTACAAAGTTATTACAATACTATGGCCTATTTTCCCTATGGTATACATTACATTCCCATGACTTATTTATTTTATAACTGGAATTTTGTACCTCTTATTCCTCTTTATATTTTAAAAAACTTTTTTTTCTTTATTGATGTGAGAGAGAGAGAAAGAGGAAGGGAGAGGGAGAGAGAGATAGAAACATCGATGAGAGAGAACATCGACTGGCTGCCTCCTGCATGCACCACACTGGGGATTGGGTCCACAACCTGGGCAAGTGCCCTGACCGGGAACCTAACCGGCGACCCCCTGGTGCATGGGTCGATGCTCAACTACTTAGTCCCACAAGCCGGGCCCTCTTTACATTTTTTCATCTATCCCCCAACCTCCCTTGTCTCACCAACACTCTTATTGTCTATTTTTTTATTCCAGTGATCCTAGTGGGTGTTACATGGTATCCCATTTTGACTTTGATTTGCATTTCCCTAATGATGTTGAGCATCTTTTCATGAACTTATTGGCCATTTGTATATCTTCTTTGTTGAACTGTCTATTCAAATCCTTTGTCCATTTTTATTTTTATTTTTTTATTTAAAAACTTTTTTTCTTCATTGATTTGAGAGAAAGAGAGAGAGAGGAAGGGAGAGGGAGAGAGAGATAAAAAACATCGATGAGAGAGAACATCGATTGGCCACCTCCTGCATGCACCCCACTGGGGATTGGGCCCACAACCTGGGCATGTGTCCTGACTGGGAATCGAACTGGTGACCTCCTGGTGCATGGATCAATGCTCAACCACTGAATCACACCAGCGGGGCCCTTTGTCCATTTTTAAATTGAATTATTTGTCTTTTTAATTTTTGACTTGTAGGGATTCTTTACATATTCTGGAGATTATATATATATATATATATATATATATATATATATGCTTTACAAATATTATCTCTCTGCCTGTGGGTTGTCATTCAACTTTCTTTATGTTTTTCTTTTAAGGATAAAAGTTTTTAATCTCAATGAAGTCCAACTATCAATTTTCTTTTTTATCACTTGTGCTTTTGGTATCATATCTGAGAAGCCATTGTCTAACTCAAGGTCATAAAAAATTATTCCTGAATTTTCTTCTAAGAGTTTTATAGTTTTAGTTCTTACATTTAGGTGTGTGATCCACTTTAAGTTAATTTTTATGGTGTATGGTAGGAATCCAAGTTATTTTTATGTGGATATACAGTTGTGCCAAAACCATTTGTTGGAAAAACTATTCTCACAATAATTCTGTACATTTAAAATTGTTCTAAAATTAAAAGTTTATTAAAAAAATAATATATTCTCTCCCTCATTGAATTGCCTTGGCCCCTTTGTGAAAAATCAACCAACCATAAATATTAATGTTTATGTTTGGACTCTTAGTTCTATTCCATTGATCTAGATACCTGTTGTTATGCCAGTACCACACTGTTCTGATTACTGTAGCTTCATAATGAGTTTGGAAACTGGTGAGTGTGAGTCAACCAACTTTGTTGTTTTCAAGACTGTTTTGGCTATTCTGGATCCCTTACATTTACATATGATTTTTAGCATTATCGCTCCAAGTTCTGAAAACAAAACAATCAAA